CATCTAAGCAGCCCAAAGTGCTACAAAAAGTGAGTGTTGGCACATTCAGGTGGTTTGCAGTGTTACAAAAACGGTGGATCTGCCACAAAAATATTCCTGTTTCAACAGAAACTTTGTAGCTCTGCATTTTATAGGCAAGTATGGAAACTTACATGCAGAGCTCCAGGGGGGTACTGAGATGCAGAGACCATGGACAGACAGTGATACAAACAGTGAGGTCTGAAAAGCAGTGCTGCTGCATGCCTTTGCAGCTCTTTTGAAGTGGCCCTGCATGCTGGACATTTGCACAGTGCTGAAGTGTGCAAAATTTGAATCCCTCCAGATTTCAGAGCACTCCAAATCCATGACTCTCCATGGCCAGAGAAACTAAAGGCCAAATGCACAAAGGTATTAAAGCACCTAAGTCCTATTGATTTCACTGGGCGTTAGGCACTCAAACGGGAGTCCAGCTGCTAAACACATTTGTACATCTCAACCCAAGTTGTCCAAGATATGTGGAAGATCTTGCCAGACGAGGGAATCAAACCTAAGTCTTAAGATCTCAGTTAGCATCCTAACCACTGCATCGTCTTCCTCTTCAACAGTGGCTGATAACTTTAATTCCATAATATTTTCTTACCAATTCAAGACATAAGCGATGACCATAAGCAGCAGAATAATGAACTGCATTATATCCTTGTTTGTCTCGAATCCCTGGATTTGCATCGTTTCTTAATAAGTATTCCAGGCACCTGTGTAAAATGGCAAATTAAATATTCATAGTATTAAAATTCTACTTTTTCAGTACCTGGTACACCAAGCCTTACCTTGAAAATAAAACAGGAGTCCAATTTTATTATATGAAACATAGAATCTACAAAATTACCACACTACATTTAATCAGACTAGTGATCTACTTGGCTCAGCGATCTGTATGGCAATGGCCATACCAGAAAATATGAGGATGATTTCTGTTTGGGTGGTTTTACATGTATGTAATATATCTTGGAAGAAAGATCCCTTTTAACTTGATGTGTAAGTGTGCCCTCCAAGTAAATTTTGATTTTAGCTAATATAAAATCGAATATTCTTGTCCACAAGTGACTAATCTTTTCTGTAACCTACTATGTTGTTTCCCCTTCATATTTTGTGACTATGCTAAGAGTAAAATAATCTCTTTACACATTTAAATATAATATGGCCTATTATGATGTTTCTGATTTAGAAATATGAGAGAAGTGCAAATAAGAAAGGCTGATTTAGCTCCTTACCCCTAATTCCTTCAACCTTTCCTTGTGTGCCATGTTTCTGAGGCATCTAATATTTGTTTTTTGCTCTGCACCAGACTCTTTCCAAACTGTCCACATCCTTTGTATACTCCAGAGGAGGCCTCACCAGTGCTGAATAGAGCAGAAGAATTGCTTCTCTTGAATTGCAAGTGATACTCTGGTAGATATAACCCAGTATGCCACTGGGATTTTTTTTGTAACAAGAGCACACTGTTGGCTCATACTCAACTTAGACTACTATA